GTGAGGCGGCGTACCCGCGCGGGAGCTCCACGCCAGGTACTGGGAGCGGGCTCGCCTTTTCCTCGTAGTGACCCATCAAGGCTGGGCGGCGGCGGTACTAGTTTCGCAAGGGACAGACATGGAGCGACTCGGGACTCGTCTCAGTCCGGCCGCTACCCAGCCGCCCGCCGCGCCTGGCCGGGCTGCTGCTTCGCCGGCCGGGTGGCGCAGGCGGCCCTCCCGGCTCCCGCCCGTCTGGGATGCGCTCCCCAACCGCAGGGCGTCGGCGGCGCCCAAGAGGCACAAGAATAACGGCGGTGCTGCGGGCGGCTTGTGGGGTGACGGTACCGCGCTCCTTCCCCGGCTCCTCGCCGTCCGTCCCCTCTCCCCGATGCCGTTTTCTTCCAGGGGAGGCGCCCCGGCCGCCGTGCCGGGGCGTAGCGCAGTCTGTGCTTTAAGTACAGCAAGATATTCACCCAGGCTAGATTAAGGTCACAACAACCTAGGATTAAGGGTGGCTACAGACTTTAGACTTAATGCAGACTTAACATGAAGGTATTATATATGCAACTAAATGACACACATGGTATTTGTTCTAACCTTCTCAACAGAAAGTGAACATGTCAGGACAGCACCCCTCGATGACCATTATACTCAAGGGGTGTAGGCACTGATTCCCCAGGGGTGAAGTGATAGGAGCACAAACATGAGTCACTAGTTGGCTCTGTGTCTTTCCTCCTGCAGGAAAAAAATATATGTGTGATGCCCAATGTGAGGTAACTGCATATTATAAAGCTGGAAATATTGTACAAAGTTATGACAACACAAGCAAACTATGCATGTTACTGCTCTTGTTATTGCTATATTGATATGAGACCTCACAAGACACAAAAATATGCATGGTAAAAAAGGGAGCAACAATACATTTCAAATGTAGCTTGTCATTAAAATGATCATGAATTTCACTACATCAAAAGTGAATGAAATTAAGTGATAATCAAAGACTGGAAAAGAAGATCAGCATAACTACATAATATGTCTTGTTTCCAAAGCTAAAGTATGACCCTCAATGTTGCAAAAGTTGGTTGACTTTAACAATAACTTTGAATAAAAAAACAACATATGGTAAACAGTCACACTTCAAGGAAATCGCAAGATCCATCCAACCTTTGACATGCCCTGTTTGGAATGCTGTTAACATGCTATGATCTTCACAGAATAGGTAAAATCAACTCAAAATATTACATTCTTTTATTACAAATCATATCTTCCCATGAACTTCATTATTGTGACTGCAGAGCTCATTCAGTCAATCAGAGACTGTGCAGAGACTTCATCATTCAAACAATCAGAGAATCAATGTGCAGAGACTAACACTTTAAAATCTAGTGACATTTCACAAACATCTTTTATGCTACAAGCTTATGCTTACCAAACACTTTTTCATGACTCAAATATGGTGGTGTTTATTTTAAGTGAAAACATTCATCCAGCACTAAGCAGATTATTTCTAAGCTCCACAAAGTCCCAATTTCTGTTATATTTCGCTTGGAGTCACTTCATAGTTTGAACTCAAAGTGCCTTGTGGATTTACCTCAGTTATGTAGGTAAATCCACAAGGATTGATGGGCTTTACCTCAGTTATGTAGCTGCTCCCTCAATTTAAGTTTCTCGTTAAATTTCATTGAGGCGTTGCAAGATGGGCTGTAGCCAAATTCACTTCCCTGTTTGGCTGATGCTCATAATACCTGGACATTTTTAATTCCAATTTTTGTAGCTGTTAACAATTGATGAAGGCCCAAGTACCTAGACAACAATGACGTTACAGAGGAAACCCCTGGCTGTGTTTCACGGGCGCGCTGGCGCTGCCAGCGCAATCTGTGAGCTAGCGACAACCTCTGGTAGTGTTGGAGGTATAGGCTTGTTGATGTCTCTATGGAAATCAAAAGTGGCTGGCAAGTGTCGCGAAACACCACCCTTATTTTTGCACAATAATGGTGTGATAACTGTTGCTGCAAGAAAATATAAGGTGAAGTGAAGACGTGAAGTAAAATCAGGTCAGACATTAATATATACCCAAAAATAGCAGTGTATGGAGTACCTATATTCACATTACCAATAATATGATGCACAACAGGCCATAGAAAAACAGGTGAATAGGTATGGAATTGTAACCCAATTTCAATATCAACATGGCACTTGGCATTAACAGTAAAACACAAAGTTTTTTATGTTAAATCAACAGAGAAAACTCCTGAACATAAACAAAATGATCAGAATGTATAATAAGGATAAAAGTATAAATAAAAATCGACGAATCAGCCCATCATCACCCTTACACATTCACCACTCCCCATTCCACGCACAGATTGTTTACCCCTTGGCTTACCCCGTGTTCGCAGTCTCCCGGACGACGAAGATTCTAAACGCCGTCCGACCAATCACGTTCAAGATCAGCGGGGCTTGGCCGCGGTTCTCGAACGTCATTGGCCAGATTACGCAGAATCTTAGTCGTCAGCAAAACTTTGAACACGGGGTTATATTTTTCGCTATGGTAACAAAAGCGCCAGAATTGACTACCAGAATTGGATCCGAAGGTCAAATGGGTCACGTGACTGTGCAGTTCAGATGGACAACACCTGGGTTGTAGGTTGAATGTTCGTGGATTTTAGGTTTTAGGTTGGTAGGCTTGTAGATTGTACGTCGGTAGGTTCAAGGTTGGGCATTATCAGAGCAGACATAGCGCAGAGGTTTTCAAACTGAGGAGAGGCGCTGTAGGCTTGTAGGTTTTAGGTTTGTATTAGCAGAGCAGACATCACAAGGCTTTCCAACCAAGGAGGCACTGTAGGTTTGTAGGTCAGTTAGTTTTGTTTAGGTTTTGTTAGAAAGAAGCACCCCCGGGATAGCCCCTCTCCTCAGTTGGAAAACCTTCGTTTGACGTCTGCTCTACTAATACCTAAGGTACCTAGTAGGTCAGTGGGCAAGGTTAGGTCAAGTAAAGGTTACACTATGTTTTCTATTTTCACCATACCTCATCTACACATTTACCCAATTTCATTACCTACTTGCATCAATTTTAAACCCATTTTATTTTTAGTAAAACACAGTTCAGCATTTTAAAATCCTAAAATAAATGCATTTCATTTTGCAAGGTCACGCAGATTATCAATAGGTACTACCTACAGTAAGACTGGCAATAACCTCTTCACACTTCACCATGGCCAAAAGCCTTAACCCGGCGGCCGCTGGGCCTCCGCGCCACCCGCCGGCCGCTGGGGGGGGGGGGCATAAAGTTGCCCCCCTTTACTTCTGCGACGATATCGTCGCAACGCGAAGAGATAGAGAAGCGAAACTTTGCACACATCTTCCTGAATACCTAGCCGAGGTTGTGTCCAAATTTGGTGTCGATCCCATTTGAAATGACGTCACAGTGACGTCATAAGTGAAATTATAGATTTGCGACTCTCATATTCCTCACGATACATCACATATATGGGACCGAATATAAAGGGCCGATAATTGGTCAGAAACTAGATGGAAGTGTAGTAAGATGTTTTAGGATGACAGCAGGTGCTGTCTAGTTCATTTACAGTCGAGTTTCATGCTCAGCGTCATCAGAAACGGTCCATCTCGGAAAACGACAAAACTTTATGACGTCACTGTGACGTCATCTTAGGTGTTACAACCACCAAACTTTCCTCAAACATTGCCTAGGTATTCATTTGAAGCTATGCCAAGTTTCACGTTCGTAGCTCATCAGGTTCCGGAGATATTTCACAAAACGTAAAGGGGGGGCAACTTTATGCCCCCCCCAGCGGCTCGTGGGCTAAAAAACTGTCATAGGCATTCAAAACTAGCCATGCATATAAAGTATACACCTTACAGCGGTACTTCACTTTCATTATTTGCATAGCTCTGCATATCTGCAAATAATTTTTTCTGCATACCAGAAAAAATAATGTCCTATGATGATTTCAACACAAAAACAACAAAGAAAATGCGACAATAGTGGTAAACAAGCCAACATGTGGCTTATGGTTCGCACATGCGACAAATGAAGCGCTGTGAACCGACTACATAATGATCAATTAGCCTAATTTAAGCCGACGTATGGTTCGGCATCCCCTCTAGCAAGCATACAACAAACAAATTAAATGTCACGTGCAAGAAAACCATCAATACATGCATGCAAAATACATAAGAAACTCACATACGGCCAGCGATGTGTCAAGCTGGGATAAGAGAGCTCTACCGCGCATGCGCAAGGCGTTCCCTAGCCAGCTGAGTCACTAACCGGAAATACAATACCAAGTGATGAAATAAGACAATCAATGCTATTTTGGATTTTTAAAAAGATTTCGGACATCTAGCATGGCTAAGTTCTAGGACCAGGAGTGAAAAATATTCATCAGGAAATAGAACTCGAAATAAAACTGATTGAAAACCTGAAATGCTTTCAGAAAATTCACGGTAACGCGGCTATGGCAGGAAGGAAGAATGGAGAAAATAATGAAACAGTTCAAAACATTTATTTTGTTAATTTTACATGCATTTGCCAAGTAACAATTAAGCATTTAAAATTGCCCGATAATTGGCCTATATTTACTGCTCTATCAAATGGAAACTTTTGCGCGCGTTCGACATCCGGATAATCAGGGATACCTCTCTATATACCGTGGGACAACTTTCCCGAATCATCGGGATCATTCGGTGTTTTAGGCTGACACCGCGCACAATGGGCATTTCAATGGGTAAAACAGGTTTTTTTGAAGCAAAAGCAATGTAAAATGTGACAAATTGCATCGATGGTCCCTGCAAAAACAAAAAAATTATCGGTACTCCCGGAAAATTATCTGCGATTGTCCGGATGTCGAACGCTAGGCCAATCGTAGTAGTTTCTTTGTTTGTAATTCACATTAAATTATGTTTTAAAAAATGTGAAAAATACATGCATTAAATTACAGCAAATATACGAAATACTTCGATACACAAACAACATCGCAATTTACAAATATGATTTTATTTATTCACAGCCTTGATAGTTGTTTGTAGACGTTTCCAGCGCACACAATATTTGCCTCACAGAAGTTATTTCATTTTGATTTGTTTATTATTATTGTTTGTATAATGTTTCCTGGTGGGAGGGTTCTCATTATTTGAAAATATACACAGGCTTAATTTGTGAATTATCAGAGACTCACCTTGATGCTCGAGTCTCTTGCCTGGTCATTCAGAGTCATTCAAACAGTTGCTGTGTTACGGTAAGGCTTTTCATTTTTGTGTGGAATGCCAAGTGGTCGTGTTTTTTTTAAGGTTGAATTGTAGAAATTCAATTTCTACAATTGAAATTCAATTTCTACAATAGTCTGTCCATTCAATCCATCCATTCAAGATTCAAGCTAAATCTAATAACAAACAATTGAAAAGAAATTGATCATAAATAGGTATTACACATTTTTTAAAAATATAGTTTGAACCTTTTGATTGGTAGGATTGACAAGGACAGAGCCCCCGCTAGGCGAAGCCTGTTGTGTTGACCCTGCCCTCTGCCTCCCGACCATGCAATTCAACAGAATTTAGAGTCCAAAGGTTAATTTGCTCACATAGCCACGCACGGTCTGTCCCCTCACTGACTGCCTGGCTACAGCCTACCACCAACCGCAACCATACCTGTCGGCCCATAAACGTCAAGCGCTCGTCGCGCAGCGCTCGTCACGCTTCAAACCCAGACTGTTGTAACTGGGAATGCGTGCTTCCACCATGCAGAGTCCAATGCTCTACCGACTGAGCTACGGGACCAGCAAAGGTATGATTTTAGCTAGTAAAAAGACTGAAATAGAAAATGCAGCAATGTGAAACTCCTTTTCCTTGTTTGGTGAATGTTGACATGACCTGTCATCTTCATCTCTGTTATTATTCAATGTCATCATCATTGGGACCTTGCAATCTGGTTCAGACACCCCTTGGCCCTTCCCTCCTGTTATCTCAAGTTTGCCTATTCTTTTATCTATTCATTTGTTCATTTATATTTATTCAATATGGAGATGGAGACAGGAGACAGGAGAGTGAGACAAGGCAGAGGTGGAGACAGAGGCTTCTGTTCGTCCTGGTCCTGCTGGACGATAGTCCATAGCCCAAAGCTCCTCGATCAGGATTAGGTCTGGATGGTAGCTGGCAAGACTTCCTTCCTTCAGAAGTCTGGCAGTTTTGATTCGCACCACCACTGGGCCTTGGCAGAGTGATGAGCTGGCATGCAATCTTGCATGCAAATGTGTGCTGAGCTGTCATAGATCATGCATCGACTAAGAAACGAGCCGCCGGAAGCTCCTGTACGTAACGAGTCTCAGCTCTTTCAAAAGCATCTCATGGTCCTGCCTGGAGATGGGATAGCCCATGCGCATAAGCCGTTTGGCCAACTTGATCACCAACTGGCCCCTCTTCCGGGCCGCCTTCTTCAATGCGATTTCTGTCACTGTCGAAATGTTGTTTGGTCACTGTTGAACTGGTGGGCGAACCCCATCTGCAACCATCAGCAACGGTGCCAGCAGCCGTATGCTTATCCCTTTTACGCTGGACTGTGCAGGCAGATGGCCCAACTGACCAGTAATGACATGCTGTGTCATTTAGACCTGAAGCATGCTGACTGAGATTCAGCTCCCCGAAATATAAAATTCTGACATTCATTTTTCGACTTCATTATCCTTAGAGGAAGAAACGATTAGGAACCGGAAAGTATATATTGCCATAGGTAGAGGTCACTTTTGCCGGACCCTGTAGACCAGGAATTACGCGATCGGAGGGTAGAGGGCAGTGTCAACGCAACAAGCCGTGCTTAGCGGAGGCTCTGTCGTTGTGAATCTTTCCATTTAAAAGGCTCGAAGTAAGCTTATAAAAAGGTATCTATGATACTTTTACACCAAGCAATCTTAAGCAGCACCTGCACCGCCGACAAAGTACACTGTACGTTGGCTACGTCGCTGTGCCTAGCTAGTTGTATAGCCTTTACCATGCATGATTTTAGACCTTGCATGACACTGTTCTTGGTGGACTAGTGGCATGCTGTCTCCCATATGTCTTGGCTCATTGAATATAAAACAACATTAATAATCTCGCTTGCAGTGCAGACACTGCTTATGTGGTGGGGCAAGGCTGCTGGCCATTTAGAAAAAAAAAGTTTTAGTGTGACCATTTGCTATACTAGGCCGCTAAGTAAAAAAGAGAACACAAATCAAGCCCTTATGTTTCAATGGATGAAATACGGATTAACGGAACTGCAGCCCACGCTAAGCCGAGCTTGATTGCTCGGTCCCTAATAGTATGCCTTCCAATCGGGCAATTTCGGGTATCTAGCCAATTTTGATGACCAGTTGAGTGTGCCCGTTCAAAGCCGAACACCGTCCTTTTCAACTGACCTCAACTGGCCACGGCTGCTCCCAGCAACCGCTGACCATCTCAGGCGTGAGTCTCGTGTACCGAGCGGCGGAGTGACTCGAACCTGCGGACTATCACCACCGGGAGTCGTATGCTATACCAAGTGAACTAAGGGAGGACGGATTTTTTTAAAACATTTGTATATGAAGTTAGGGACAGTCACATAATCTTGCTCCAGTTTTTAGTGACCGGGTTAGTGTCAGTTGTAGCGTCTTGTTCCATGTTCCAGTTGTTGCGCTACAAACCAATACGGTAAGCGTCGTTCTTTCTGTCGATAGCCTTCGCTCGGGAGTTGTATCCATGTAGCAGCGGCAGGTGACAAGTGACACGCCCACCTCATCGCCAAGTGCCAACAATACCCCTACCAACATTACCAATAGAGCGCGACACTCCCTTCGATCATGACGCTCATATTGCTCATACGCCAGCCAATCAGGCTATCCGTCGTATCCCATCAGGCATCATCCCGTTCGGCCAGTGGCCCCGTCCTGGCTGGTAGGCAGGGCTGCGGAGTCGATGGATTTTCGGCGACTCCGGCTTTCAAAAACCAGCTCCGACTCCGGCTTTCAAAAACCAGCTCCGACTCCGACTCCGGCCAGAATTGTCGACTCCGACCGACTCCAACTCCCGACTCCGACTCCGCAGACCTAGCAGGGCTGCGGAGTCGACAGATTTTCGGTGACTCCGACTCCGACTCCGGCTCGGGTTTCTAAAATCGACTCCGACTCCGACTCCGGTCACAACTGTCGACTCCGACCGACTCCGACTCCGACTCCGCAGCCCTGCTGGTAGGCGTCGGGCGGAGAGCGCCGCCGGCCTCCGCCTGTCGGCGCGGCCGATCGGGCCTCCGTGCCGCCCCGGCCGGCCAGCGGCGGCGGCGGCGGCGTCTGGGTGACGTCAGCCGCGCCGGTACGGCCGCACGTGCCGTGCCGTGCCGGCCGTAGTCGGCCCGAGTGGCGGCGCGGCGGCGGACGGATCTCGCCGGCGCAGTGGTGGAGTAGATACTAGTGATCTCAGTGTGGAGGGACCGATCGCGGCTGCTGGTAGACTGCTGTCGCTCTACAGGTGGGAAACGACGGTCTGGATGAGAGGGAGCAGCTGCCTTCCTGGTTATGTTGTGTAGGAGAGGAAGAGGGGCGAGACCTGTCGGTCTGTGCTGTGGGTTGTGTTGGAGAGTCCCGCATTTGTTGTTCTGGATGAAAAGCACGCCATGCAGCATATGCTCTTGTGTATGCGGGACGCGGGTGTGGTGCTCAAAGGAAGCTAGCTCTGGGTTGTAGGTTTCTCTTCGCTGAAGGTTTTATGTGGTTTCATCTCCGTTTAAGGATTTGTCCCTCTATCTCCGCTGCCTCCAGTCACTCCGTCCCTGTCGCCTGTTGCTCGATCTCGGCCACCGCCAGCCACTCTGTCTCCGCCTCTGCCGGGGCGCCGTGCGGTGCATTGTGCCTTCCCCGCCTCCGTAAATAGGCACAGCGGCAGGGACCACATGTGGCATCCGCGCCTTCCGCGCCGACTGTCTGCGGGACGGCCTGGGAGTAGTCTGTCGGCAGATTGCCAGCCCGACCCATTCGGACCATCAGCGCAGCATTTGTCTCCGGCTGAACATCATGTAAAGCGTGACACGCGGCCGACACCGCCGGCAGCGATAAATCTCCGCCGCGGCTCATGGTCTCGCCAGATAAAGATGCTTTGCATTATATTTACATAGAATGGTCTCAGAAGTTGAGTCTGTCTCGTACTTTGGACTGGGCTGCACGGTGTTGGGCGTTGTTTGTGGGACCGTGTCTCGGCAGGCGGTGGTTCCGTGTTGGGTGCCAGGGGCGTGCCCGTCGCCCCGGTCCAGGTGGGCAGGTGGGCGCGCCGCCGGCTGGAATCCAGCCCGGTGCAGTGGTCCAGTGACGTCACAGCGGCACCTGTGTGACGTCACAGGGTGGAGTCGGCAGCGGAGGCGAAGCGCCGGCTCCGTCACTCGTCAGACTACATTTGCCGCTGCTGAACGAACGGCCACCTTCGCTCTGAACGAACGGCTGGGCAGCTCACTTCCCGACACTTGAGGTGCAGTGAGGACGTGCAGGAAGTATTTGCAGGAAGTGAACGTTTGGCAATCAATGCAGTGTCGTTGGTATTTTGTGACTTAACGCTGCTTTCTTGGATGAGTCCCGAAGCCCTACTGATCCGCATGTGAGGCCAGTGCAGAGCCCTTGATCTTCAGCTGGTATCAGTACGTAATACCATGTCGCGTCCCGCCCTATTTTGTACGGTGTCATGAACAAGCCAGTGCACCGCGTAGCAGCTCGTCCACCATCGTGAATCCATTCCTCAAGTCAGTCAGCTCGCTGTCGGGTAGTCAGGCGATGGGGTGTCAGCTCGCAGCTGACTTCCGGCAGGTCGTCCCCCTGGATCGATAGGTTATTGGGTGCCGCCCCCCTCCCCGGGCCGCGGAGCGCCGTGCGGTAATGTGACCCTACCTCCCCCCGGTGTTACTCGACGTCTGTTTATTGTTCCTGGTATTGTCGCTGGACCGTAGGCTCCTGTCGGACCCGCCGACGTGCCGTACGCGCCAAATCGATGCCAGTTCGAGTCTTTCCTCGAATATGTAGTGGCGAGTGCCATCGTCCAGCCGACTACGTTCCATGGTCGACAATGAGCTCCGGGCTGTTTGGAAGCTGAGTGGAGTGATCACCGGCTAGGAGTCGACCAGCATCACCTCGCGATTTGCTCAGCGATAGACAGCCCTGGTCTGGTGAGGTGGCGGTGTCGCCTTCATGTCAAAACCATCCAGCACACCTGGCAAGCGCGGCGGCGCAAACTTGCCAGGGTCCTGGGTGCGACCGCGGCGGTTTGTAACGAGCCGAGAGACAACCTCCGACGGATAGCACGAGCCATCCTCTTGTCCACTGTCACCGTTGTCTCGGACAAACGACGGTGCTCCTTGAAACCTCAAGGCCCAGCCCGTGGTGGCACTCACCACTATATGACGGCACGCGCCTCAGAAACACTCCTCCATGCAATGTGCATGTTCTGATGATACTTGCTGAAAGCATGCCAGCTCGCCTGGTTCAGATTACATATAATGCTAATGGTATTCCTGTCAGGCGGCTGGCGACAGCAGCGTGGTATGTAGAGCGATTGTCGAGCGGTGGCCTGGTTTCTGGGAGGTGACATCGCAACACGCTTCCAAGGGGCCCTCCACGCTTTTGAAAAACCCATCCTGACTAAACAGGGAGGAAGTTGTCATCTGTACACCGCATCAGTCCGTGTTCGCTGTCCGGTCTTCGACCGGACAGCGATAGGTCAGATGAAGGTGTGTTGGCGGCAATAGCTGTGTGAATGAGCTCGCGCGCACTGGTCGGTGTTCATGGCCTTTGGCCGACCTGCCCGCTGTCCAGATATGTCGTGAATGCGCTGTTCGCATGATTGGATTCATAGAATCAGGTGCCAGCTTTGTCGGGTGACCTCTGGCGTTCGCCTGATAGGCCTTCTTCGTCCGCCGTGAACACGAATTGCTTGTTCAGCTTCTGACCAGTCGTCTGCTACGTGTCCGTCATACAGTGCGTAGGTATGGATGCCGTTCACCTAGAAGCGCCGGCGAACTGTCGTTGCCTCACCCGGTTGCACGACATTGGTAATCCGACATTCTGTCCAACGTTCCTATCACGACCGTAACCTATCTTTTGACCTTCGCTGTAACATCTCCTCTGACCTTCACTCTTGCCACCATCTGACCTTTGCTCCAGCGTCGTCTCTGACCACCGTTCTGACCTGCGCCCTCTCCCGGCAGGTGATGCTGTGTCTCGCCCGCTCCGGTAACCAGCAGTGACAATTGGTGATCGCGACCGCCCGCCGGTGACCTGTGAGCGCGGTGCTGGTGACCGATGGTGACCGTACGCGATCGGTGGCGACCTGTGTGCACCACTGGTGCTGGTCGGTAGCCGGGGGCCGCTGTTGGTGATAGGATTATGTCTCTACACGGGGAGCCGCCGCCGCCGCCGCCGCCGGCCCCTGCCGCCGGGTCGGCAGGCCGGGAGCGCACGCCGCCTGCCACCCCCGGCTCCAGCAAGCTGATGACGGCGCGGGTGCTGCTGCTGGACGACCTGGTGGTGCCGTTTCACATACAGGTGAGTCGCGACGGAGGATGTCGCCCCGGACCAGTCGGATGATCGGTGGGTGGGGGGCCTTTACCTGTCTGTTTATACTGTGTAGTTTGTGTGGCAGATGGAAGGGGTTATAAGCATCCTTCATTGAGGTCGGACTGAGTGCCATAGCCGGCTGGCAGTGACTGCAACTGGCAGCACCCCGACATCGATCCTTCAACGACCCATTCCGTCCCAATCGACGAACCGGCCGCCACGTGCCCGGCCGGTAGCTCCTATTAATACCTGACACGCCCGGTGCCATGCCGGAGGACGGAAAATTGAACCCTTTCTCGATGGTGGTTCAGGCAGCGGCCAAGCTCGTTCCGGCCGCTCCGCTGCAGCTTGTGTACTCGGGCGCTGCGCCCGTACATTTGCGGAGGATTGACGGTATTAATCCAGCTCGCTGCTGATGGTGTACGCATGGCGTCTTTGGCAGCGTCTCTGATGGTGTCTGCGTGCAGTGAGAGCATCGAACGTTGGCGGCAGACTCGGTGTGCGTGTAGCCTTGGGACCGATGGATTCGGGTTCACTGTCCTATGTTGTCTGAAGACGTGTTCGCGGCCCTGGTGGCGCAGTCGGTTAAAGGGACAGTATCATCGAAAAAAAATCAATGTATGGAGCTGATTTTTTTTTACTAGCATTTCTTATTTTTCTGAATCAGAAAAACATAGTTTGAGGACCGAACTTGGTGAAAAATATTGCAACCACATTTCATTTTCATGATTCATTTTCATGAGCGAACCAACAAGCATGGCCGCCAGTTTGGAAGCATGCAAAATTACTACAGAACTGGCGCAAATAATACATTATTGACGCTACGCTTACGCGGTCGTTCTTCTGATTGAGTTGTCCTTAGGGAGAGGTAGCCTTAGGTATTGCCTATAAAAATATCACGTGACAATTGGAGGGAGTGACAATTGGACGTGACAATTGACTTTGGGATAAAATATCACGTGACAATCACGTGATAAACGTCATACATTGGAGGGAGATTGTGATTCAAGCTGGAGGAATTCCTTTGTTGAGCCGCTAGAATCCGAAGGAAACAGCGGAAATTGCCTACGACTATTTAATGAATTTAACGGTGATGAATAAGTGCGAAAAACGTTTTGGCTTTATAAAATGTGATGAAATGACCAGGGTAAAAGTTTTATTACTGGCGGTCAATTCAAAACGGCGCAAACATTTAAACAGTGAAGATAGTGAAGCACGATTCAAAGTGTAGTACCCCTTTCGTACTTTGAGCGGCGATAGCGGGATAACGGTGTGGAGCTTCGAGGATCGGTCTTCAGTTCCCGGACCAGAAAGGTGGGGCCTATGCAATGTCAAATTTCATCAAAATGGTGATACTGTCCCTTTAAGGCGTCGACCCGCGGTGCGGGCGGTGCCGGGTTCGGGTTCGATTCCCGGTTCCGCCCGTTCCGCGGGCGTCGTCCCCGGCTGTGTCACCAGGTGTGGGGTAGGCTCCCACTTCAGCCGTAGCCTGGGGGGTAGGGGAACAAGGGCCAGGAGGAGGAGGAGGAGCCGTCCTGTAAATGGGATACAAGTGCCCGTTGGAGGGAGGCCTGAATAAAAAAAAAAAAATGCCATGGTGCCCGTGCTGTCCAGGTCATGAGCTACTAGCATGGGAGACCGTCTGTTACGAACCACTGCACGGTAGGCGATCGGGCCGGTCTAGCCTCGCGAAACCTCAAAGACACTTTTTTCCGAAAATTGCAAAACAACGCATACTAGTCGGCAGAAAATTCATCAAAGATTACGATTGGTGCATTTGCATGGCTCAGGAGACATTTTTTCGTGGACAAAAGTATCGTTAAAGACAGCGTTCCGTAACACTTCATAAGGGGGATAATCACAGCCGATGTTTACGCTCTTTGAATGTTTTGCGGAACTATGAAATTGCTAGGTGTTGAGCATCCATTTTGCATGGAAAGTGAAATTTAGATGTTTAGACGATTCCGCCATAGAAAGCAAGTAGACAAAATCAGTTCAAAATGTCTTATAATTAGGTTAACTTTTTATATTTTTTTTTTTTTAACCACTGAACATTACGTTCACTGAATTAACCGAGCCCAGCAAAAAAAGTTTTACGAGGATGAACTGAAAATCATGCTGTATCGCATGCACTAAGACACTATCTATTACGGGAGCCAGTGAAAAGTTGCAGCCACTTGCAGCCCTGGCATCCAGACACTTTTTTCTTCTAAGGGTTGGCCGTGGCTTGGTGCACTTGAGCACAAGTGGTAAATGCCCCAAAGGGTGTTTTCGCGATAGCTAAAAACACCCAGGCAATAGAGAGCTGCAACCTGGCATACCTGACCTTTGATGCACGCTGCATCTTGTGACACCAACCGCACTTTCAAGTCAGGTCAGGTCACTGACCTATGACGTCATAAATGAACCTCTGCACGATCCTCAGATGTCGCAACCTTGCAACGCTCTCAGTGCCAGAGTAACTTTCACAGGAAGGTGAGACTTGCAAGACTTATTGTCCTTCAGAGGTCTTACAACTTGCATATCTCAGATTTTTCATAAATGTCACATAAAGTCAGGTAGTTCACGTGACCTCACCTATAAGTCAATGGGGAAATATGAAAACTGTTATTTTGGCGCCAGGAATGATATTCAATTGTCTCAAGTAGATGGAATCGTTACTTCATGCACTCCTTGCAAGATCTGATGCTGTATTTTTGCATTGTTGACCTTGCATGACGTCATTTATGACGTCACTAGGGTTATATGAGGTTTTCGTCAATAACTCCCGATCAAATTGAGCTAGAGAGTCGACAAGGTCACCAATGGACTTCGGAAGACCTGCCGAATCGAATGATATGCGATATGACCTCCTTCGACCAACTTCGTGATTTGAAGACCTCTGACCTGACCTTGACTCGAGGTCAAGGTCAGGTTGACCTTACGGTGGCCTCACCTGAACAAAAGTATACTATTCGACGCGCCTGAGCAAGGCGAACACGACGATGTCAAAATCGTGGTTCTGCGGCCATTTTTTGCGAAGTTATTTGCCAAAAACCAAACCCGCTGCTTGGGTCACGTTATGAAATGGGGCCTTGCCGGGCGAGATTTACGCTGTGTCATGATATGTATGAATTGGTAGGGCATAATCGTTTGAATAAAAAATTGGTTTGGAAGCAATTTTCCATGGAAGTACACACCATTTCAATGTCCTACCCAGCTCATATCGTCATAAATTTCGACCTACCTTCAAAAGTATTCATGCGTTATTCGAGCAGCAATAAGGCAAATTGCAAGCTCGCCACAGAGCACACATCCTATAAGAGCTAGTCCTTATTTAAAACATATGCTCATTGGATATTCAAGAAGGTTGCTTCTAAATATTGTGGTTCTAGCTTCAAAATCATGGATGTTATGAATGCCGATAGGTTTCGCGAGGCTACACCGGCCGGATCGCCCACTGTGCACTGTGGGCCGGCAGACAGCAGCTGCAACTGTCCCGGATCCTGACATGGCTCTGGGTGACGGTGACAGAGTACATGGTGGCTGTCTTAGACAGGACGGGGGTGGAGCAGTGTGGTAACTGCTGTTTGCCTGTCTGTGATGGAATGAGATGGAATTTCCCTTCCTGTCCCGTTCAGAGGTGTCTCTTAGATTCGCATTCCACCCTTTCCTTGCTGTGTAGATGTCCACCTCCATGCATTTCCCATTTGGAGGTTTTTCACCTATTCCGTTTTATGTTCGTCTCTGTGGCCACTTTTTTTCTGTCTGGTGGTCCGGCTCCCTCGCTATTCTTTCTGTCCAGTAGCCCACCTGCCTCTCTGTTCTTTCTGGATTTCCGCCTCCCTTCCTCGCTCGGTCGGGGCCGGTTTCCACGCCGAGGTCATCGGACGCGGCCCGGAGATGGCCCGGTCGGTGGCCATTACCACTGTCGGAAGTTACCTCGCTGGTCCAGATGAGCGCGGAGCGGTCAGCGGCGCCCCCGGTGCCAGCCCCCGCCCCGCCCGGTGCCAGGGGCGGCTGGCTGGCCGCGTCCCGTGACCGGTCGGCCGACCTGCCAACCGCCGTTCGTCACTGTCTCCTGGCGGCCGGCAATCCGGCCCAACGACCCGCCCGCCGGCGGCCCGGCCAAACGGCTGACCTGTAAGCAATCCGGCCACAGCGCGCCGGCCAACTAGCCCTCCAGACGGGCGGGCGCGACGGTGGAACGACCGGCCGCCGCCGCCCGGAACTCGACTCGGCCGTGGCGTGTTGCGTGTGAATTTCGTACGGTGGGCGGTCGCAGCGGGCCGTCTCGGCCGGTCGCCGTCGCGTCGTATCCGCATTGTGACGCTATCGAGCGGCCCAGCGAGCAGATAGCGTCCCTGGCCGATACCGGCGAGGTAGCGCCGAGAACGGCAGAGCGTGTGTGGTCGGTATTTAACGTCCGATAGCGGCCCGGCTCACTGGGGTGATACAGACGGAATGAAGCTGGTGGTGACAGCGATAGCGCAGGCATCTTGTCCATTTAACTGATGACCTTGTACTTCGCACCTTCTGTTTGCTCAAAGGACGGAATGTTTTGGATGTTTAGAGGGATTAAATCGTGCGGCATAGCTTTAGATCTACTGAAAATTCCTAAAAGTTGAGTACCTCGTGCTATATGTTTTTGTTTAACTAATAGTCCTTTTTCAGCCTCTATTTCTAATGGGTAGGTGTAATTACTGCATGCCTCTCAGCTTCAGAGGGCTTTCACCAAGTTATTCAGCTGCGGCAGTGTTTAACTGGGCGACTCCAGGCGGTATGCCCCGCTGGCCGCTAATCCAAGCGTACTGGGGACCGCCACGATCTAACCCAAGGAGCTTTGATCTCCTCTGAGAGGGGAACGCTCGGCATAAGCGCGATATAGTGGTGGCGCGGCTGGGTGAGTTTCGTGGCGCTCCTGAGATGCCCGTCAGTGCGCCGCTGACGTCATGCACACGTCATCACGTGAGGTCAGACTGATGACTGATCGGCACCTGCCGCATAAG